CTGTTGCTAGATCCTAATTAAAGTCTTACTGCTCTGGATTTCGCGCGTATCTCTTGATTAAATACATTTTATTGGAATATCAAAAAAGGAGAATTGCCAATGTGGTTGCGTCGCAATGACACTTGAAACTCGAGGGACTCGAAGAAACGAAACTACACGCAACGATCCACACACGTGAAAGTCATAAACACGGTGTTTGATATGCACGGGCCGAGGACTAAGAATTCTCAGCCGTTCCCGAAATGAGAAATTATCATTTTATAAGGTTGCTAAGACAGCGTGCGGCTACCGGTGCTGATGGGAATAAAAAAAAGGTCCGCGAAAACGCAAATCGACGAGACGGTAGCCTTTCGAAACTGCCATCAGCGCCTCGTCACCGCCGTCGGAAAAGCAATATCCATAGGCCGTACGCCGCAAGTTATTATCCCAATCAGCTAATTTATTGAGCGAAAACCGGTTATGCGCACGATGAATTAGTCGTAGCTTGGCCATATAATATTCGGCTGCTGCTTCGTCGGCCGATGCGTCATATTTTTCTCGAATTACGGAGGAACGCGCGCTCCCTGATATTTATATCGATATATACGTGCGAGAAGATGAATAATGAATCGGGAGAGAAAGAGATCTCTCGGAAGAAAGAGGCGGGCTCGGCGAATTGATAAAGATGTTGCGATGGTTGCCGATTGCGCTTGATTATCGCGTCTCTTTTACATAAGCATGTATATCGCTCAGCGGGAAAAAAATGAAACGTGCCCAAATTCCATCTTTTTCAGAGCATTCTCAAAAGAAGTGCTTATTACATTTGTCCGCTAATAATCTTACTGTGTATTCTGAAATTACGCCGTGCTCAAACTATTCTTTTCTCCGCCGTCGAAATTGACGGTTATATTCATTGACAAGATACTTAGTATAATAGACGACACTGCCCGATGATCTGTAGTATTGAAGCCAACAATATAGCTAACAAAGCAGCAGAATTTCGTTTGCTTGTTGTGCACATGAAAACGAGAAGCTGCTTTTCGGTCGACACAATAGTTTCGAAAAAGGTAGCTACGGAACGTCTTGACGCGACGATTCAAAGTTCTCGCCCAAACCAGTCGTTAGGACGTCCATCGACTTCACGCATGCCGCTCCCGCGCCACGGCCCGGCCGCTCTAATTTTCAGACAAGGGATGGGCAACAATTTTTTTGACGATTCAATTTGCCAAAAAGACCGACGAACCTCCAGGCACGCGAGCCGTATACGAAATCGTTCTTGTGCAGCGTTTCGAAACAAAAGAATTCACCAGAACTCTGTAACAACTAGACAGATGTCTAGAAAATAATACGTGAATCACGAGATAATAAGATAAAGATGAATGAGACCTTTTATATTGGCGATCAGCCACTATTTCGAAACTATTCCTTGTTGTATTGAACAGACTGTTTGGCATTGCAAACTTTATCAATTAAAGATAAAGATGCTCAGTCGCTGAAAAAAAAATGGAAGCTAAGCTATAATTGATGAAAAAATGTTTTTATACATGTAGACATCAATACAAACATACATTTTTACAATTTAATGATGTTTCTAGCGATGAAAAATGTACAGAATATATCTTTTGAGTAGATAAGTGTAATTCTTTATATTTTTTTCAACTTTGTCGCAGATAAATCAAAGCTAACAAATATTAATAAGCAGTCATTTCTGCGGCTACTCTGAGTGAGCTTGGTAAGAAAAACAGATGGTGTTAACTGAAAACTATTATCAAGTCTTGTGACAAGTAGTTGATGGTAGGTCATCAATAAAAGAAAAGCTATCTTCCAGTCTCTTAAAGCAACTCTGACGATTTGGACTATCGCTTTGTAAGTCTATAATCTCTTCGGGGTATTTTTCAATTAACCGCTTTCCTGTTTAATTGCGTCATTCGAGACTTTTTCTCTATGATTAAACAATTTTACAAGATGTACTTTCTAGCGTTCTACCGACATTATTATCGGTCCTCAGCCCCAGTGTAGAGATAGCAAATTACAGACGCACCAATTAGTTTTACTATCACAATTACAGCAACAACAGCGGCAAATGTCGACAATCGACTAAACCGTACAATGTTCCACTGCGAAACTAACGACACTTCCAGTAAAGACAAATCAATTTTAAGCTTTGCTCCAGACACCCATTTTAACAATAAAAATTCTCTTAGCTTTTTTAGAGAGAAAAAGAGGTGCGGGCAAGCCAACTGTAGAAAACAGGCGCAAAGGAAAAAGGCGAAAGAGAGCAAGAGAGGAGAGGGGGGTAGGCCGGAGGGTAGCAGAACGAAAAAAAGGAGGAAAAGGAGTTTTGAAAAGGGACTAACGACCGGCAGTTAACGGCGGCTCGGAAATTGCCGGTTGCGCGCATCTTCTCTCTGCTTGCGCTCGGCGCGCCGCCGCTCGGCGAATTATTAAACTGTAGTTTAGTTTAAATTAAGTTATTACCCCGCAGTCGCTGCCTTGCTTTTCTCTTCCTTTTTCTCCTCTCTCTCTCTCTCTCTCTCTCTCTCTCTCTCTCTCTCTCTCTCTCTCTCTCCCTCTCTCCTGCTCCCTCTTCCTGCGCGCCCAGGTGTACATATGTACATGATCTCCGTAAAGGCGACTCGTGTGTCTTAGCTACTGCTGCTGCGCGCTTCCTTCCTCTCTATAGCTATTGACCGCGTTGGCTCTTCGCTTTATTTTTAGACTCGAAAATTGCCCAGCGACGCTGTGCTTTCAACTATCTGCTCGCCACGAAGCAATTTGTGACAAGTGCCGCGATTTGTCATCTATTGAGACTTGACTTTGACCGATACGACGAGCACGCCGCAAAATTATATTCGCTATTCAGTTTAAAAATTAATTAGATTCATTTACTATTACGCACGATAAAAAACCGTTACCGTCATGGCAATCCCAATCAGCGACTATTATCATCAGAGTTTCAATCTTCGCTTTCACGAATATCTTATCGCAGCTTTCTCAAAATAAGTGATTCAAAAATATAACAAATTACAAAACATGAATACAATATTATCATTCTCCTCGCAAACTATTATTCACGACCAGTTCCGACGCAATTATGAATTCGCCCTCGAGTGATAGATTCCTCACGTTGAATTCTCTGCCAAAAATCATATGGCGTAGCAGTTATTTTCCAATTTTACAAGCGATCAATTGTAATCGATCCTTTTTATACGTACGTTCGTCGCTCAGTTGCACAAAAAAAAATACGTTTGACTTTCGAATAAAAAAAATATATTGTGATTTCAGAGAAAGACAACGCGCGAGTTCGAAATGTGGAGCATTCATTTTCTCTTTCTTTCTCCCTTGCTCTCGCGAATTCACTCGCTGCAGTGTGCGAAATTGCGAAAAGAGAGAGAATTAAGCTTGGCGCGGTGCCTTTAACGATCGACCATTAAAGGCATTTAACGAGCGATGGAGGCTGCTGCTCTTCGCGCGAATCGCCAGCTCCGAAACGAATTTGATTGCAGTTGATGAAGAGCCTCTACGCGCGCATGATGAATTGTACTGGTACATTTGCTCTCTCGAAAAACAGATTAGTTTCCGCTCTCCTTCAACTGCAGTTGGAAAACTGAAATTGGTTTTTTTTTTCGCAAATACATGGCGCGGGGTGCATACGCAAAAATTACTGTGATTTTCTACTGCAATTTATCAGCCATAAGGTTTTAAATGTGAACATTATGTAAGCCATAAAGTAAACTATCGCGGAAATTACGACTCATGTTTCGATTACCGACCACTGCAAACTCCCGTCCGATTATACAAATTTCGCCGCTCTTACAGTAACTGCTGGCACTCGCTAATTGTTCTCCGAAATAAGAAAGCCGAAACAACTTTTCTGCCGAGCTTATTACTGAAACTTAGCACTTAATAAAGCGGATCGTCCCACTGAAAACCTCGCAATAAATCCTCAAAAGCTTCTCTCTTTTTCTTCCTCTTCCCGCTTGAAAACTAAAGCTCAATAAAAATTGACGCGCGAAAGGTGTCTTGCCATGGACTGGGATCACGTAGTTACAGCTCACCCTCGAGCTTCTCGCATGTGTTTTTTTCTTCCATCCTCGTCGGATTTTCGGGGCCGACGGGGGCACTAAGCGATCCCACGGGATTCTCAGCAATGATCTTATGATTGACCGCGTTACAAAAGTCCCCGCAGACCACTTTCTCCGAGTGCCTCGTTTTGTTTTTTCTTATCTTTTTTTTTGTTTTTTTTTTTTTCTTGCTACCGCTCATTATTGTTGTTGGCGCGCGCGCGCTCGTATTCGATATAATCCCGCCAGCTAGAAAAAAGAAGGCCGCAGTCACACCTCGCACGTGGCGCCAATTGTTGTGTTAGACAGTATGTGCGTCTTCCAACTTAATTAACGTCGCTGTACTATTTAATAAAGAGCGTGGTGGCATCCGTAGCCAAGTTACGACAAAAAAATTACGAAATGCAGCGAGCTAAACGCTACATCGCCGTTTTGACTTTTAAATACCGAGATGCTCTTACTTGTACATGCCCGTGATTTTGACACTAGAGTGCAAAATCTGTATGTGGTCATGTGCTGAAAATCAAATACATATTTGAACACTAATGAAATCAAAATAGACGTCTTTGTTTGTTGAGCATCAAATCACATAAGCTATGTAATGAAAATAATGTTGCATAAGCACATAAGCCTGTGTTAGCTGATTATCAAGTTAAAAGGCCTAGCTGGCAGGATTCAAGCTGTATAATCAAGCAGCCTGAGTAATAAATAAATTGAAATACAAGAGATCTGCATAACTCGAGTTCAGAAAAGTTTTAACCAACGTGAGTATAGGTATTCAGAAGTAGGATTGATTGAAATAAAGGAAACCGAGCAAAATGACACTGATTATTTATGAAAACGCTCCGTCACCTGCCAATAGTAGATATCAAAATAATCAAGGTAATAGAACAAAAACGAGATGAAACAAGAAAACTTAACCTCAAGTATCGCTGCAAGCGCAAACTTATCTCTCACCTTTCTTATCGTCGTCATCCTCATTGTGATCAGTCCCATGATGAAGATGATGCGCCGCCGGATGATGCGGTCCGATGCCAGGCATCAACGGATGGCCAGCGAGGGCCGAGTGTGGGTGATGCGGATGGTGACTAAACAATCTGACGGCGGCGGCGGCGACCTGGTGTTGGGCCTGGGGCAGCATGGTACCGGGATGATGCCAGCCAGGTAAGTGAAACGGGAAGACAGGTGCACGCTGGAAGAGTCGGGCCGAGGGGCCGAGTAGCGAGCTGGTGGCGGCGGCTGCGGCGACGGTGGCCGCCGAACTGCTCGTGGCCGCCGCGGGCGCCGGAAACGACAGCCCGCCCCCCGGCTCCAGCACCATGTTGGGTATCAGCTTAGCTGGCGCGTCGTCGTCGCCGGCGCAGCAGCTCCTGCCCCGACCACGACACTCGCACTCAACTTTGTCTACGTCTCGAGAGATCGAGACCCGCTGTCGAGTCTTGGAAGCGCGCGCGCAAGCGCGAGCCCGGCCTCTTTAGATCAGTCTACTTGCCCGAACGACGGGGTTCCGTTCCGCGGACATTACTCGCGACGAATGTTCTCCTCGGAAGCCACTAACGATTCGGCTCGAGGATTCCCCGCTGCCGAGCAATCGTAGCACTGCACCACTCGGTCCAGTAGTTCACTTCTTACTCACCAGCGAGGTTCGGTATTAATGTTTTCTCCACGGTTGACATGTCGTCGGAACATTTGTCAACTTAGCACGCATATCGTAATCTCTGCACGTTATCCTACGAAAGCGATCGAAGGTTCCAATGGGTATTCTTTGGTATATAGAAGAGTATTTGCTGTACAAAGCTGGCCGTCGGATGACGAAGCGCCGTACTTGGTGTAATCGCTACCTGCTAGTCTTTATTGTAGTTGGGCTTCGCAGCGGGTGTCGAGACGCACCTTACCCTTCGAGTAGCGGTTGACCGTTGTCGAACTGTGCGGCTATCAATCTTGCCGAGGTGCTACTTGATTGATCGAGTGTATGGAAATCCACTTCATTGCACTTCCAAAAACTCCTCATAAAGACTTTTGATTGTTGAGAGACCAACGACCTCTTGCAATTCAATCGAGTTCAAGCACCTACGTCACTTATCGATTCACCAATAGAACAGACAGTGAGCCACACTTTTACCAGAAATATTGCACTGGCACTACATCGAAGCCAGCAAACCCAGCGGTGGAACTCAGTCCCGTAGCCGTCAAACCTCGCGACTGGACAAGCACCACGAATAATCAGTTAATAAAGGCCGATCAGCTGTGCAGTGAAATGTACGTGTGTGTATGCCCGTGTGTATGTGTGTGTGTGTGTGCGTGCACGCCGGTAGAGCAGAAAAAGGCTGAGCGGCGGCAGCGACAGCGGCAGCAACGGCACAGCAGCAGCGTGAGGCGACGGCACAACACTATCTGGCCTCGGCACACCAACCAGTTCTCGTGCCCCTTACTCTCTCTCTCTCTCTCTCTCTCTCTCTCTATCCCCGCGCTCGTGTGCGTGCTCTCGATTCTTGCACTCTCCGCCATTGGCCGAAACTTCCGCTCGTGTTTCCCGACCAATCGATGTGCGCCACAGTCACGCCCACCGTCTTCTAACCGCGCACGGAATTGAATCGCGCGGTGGGGACGAATCAATTGGTGGCGACTCGGCTCTGCCAGACTCCTCCCACTACCATCGCTCGCGCGCGCTCTCACTCACACGGGTACACGCACGTACGCGTACGCGCGTACACTCGCTTCCAACGACTGATCGATTTGCTCCGAACTCCCTCTTTCTCTCTTTCGTATTAATCGGTTTGCTCGCTCACACCCGAAAGTTTCTTTCGATTTTTTCCGATGCTACTGCTAGTGCCGCCGCCGCCGCGCCCCCGCTGCTGCTGCCGCTGGATTTTGAGCCGAGCTGGCGGATTTCCAGGTCAAGTGGACTTTATTGGCGCTGATAAGGCCAGCGAATTCAATGGACTGAACGTAGTGGGTGCCGAGCACGGCTATATGCCCCGCACCGCCCGCTTGCTCATGGCCGATTTCCGCCGAATTGATTTGCTCGCGGGCTTGCGCGCACTTGAGTTAAGATGCGACCGAATTTTTTTTTTTTTTTTTTTTTCACTTTTTTTTCATTTTGGTACCGCAGCTTGTACAATTGATTCGATACGGCGACCAGAAATTTATGCATAATAGCGATTGCGGCTAATAAGAATATTACGAAAATATATTCTCATACGATGATGAAACAAAGAGGAAATGATGAATGTAAAAATTAACACGTAATAGTTCAGCTGGCGTGAGGCATATGATAGAACCCGCGATAATTCTCGCGTAACTGCATTAAAAATCAGCATTTTGATTTTTAGACCTGTCTTAAGCGCGTCGACAGCACAATACAAAAATTCTCCCGGCCGTTGCACAAGCTCATCAGAAAGAGAGAGAGAGAGAGAGGAACTCGATTAAGTTGCGAACGATTAATCAACCTAGACACGTTGTGTGTACACCAACGCAGTTTATTCCACGTGGCAGAGAAAGACACCGACCGAGCGTATATGAAGAAAAAGCAAATGAGAAGCGGGAGCGCAAGCATTTTTATGCACAATTTCCGCGTGAAATTAATTAAATTGTCCTTCATTAACTACGCACTCGTAGTGATCGTTATACGCGCGTATCGTGCGTGCGGATCTTTTTGTGTTAGCTGGCTTTAATAAAAGCTCAGCTACGCACGTCGGAGGTGGGGACTGGAGGAGGAGAAGGAGGAAGAGTAGGGGGATAAGGGTCTCTCGGAGGCGTTAAGTAATTATACGTCTATTCTCTTCCTCGGCGGAAATTAGCCGAGCGCGCACGAGCGAGCTTACTCTCGGGAACTAGAGTATTATAGGGCGGTGGTAGGGGGCAAGGGACAAAGAATGTGCTTTCGCCGAGGAAAAATTAGGAAATTAAAATTACCCCCGCCGATTCCTCCCGACCGCTTGTTTTACTGCCGACGCGATTGCGTTGCCGCAGATTCTATACGTTGCATGTCTCCGACGGTTCTTATCGATGCACTCTTTTGCGAGATAAAATCATTGGCAGGAGGTGTTTCTCGAGGGCAATGAACGGACGATAACGTTTTGCGCGAAGTAAAAAAGCCGCAGGTGCATATAATCGAATCTGCCTACTCGAAAAACTGAATAGAGGCAAGTTCGGAATACAAAGAGCGGGATTTGAGCTGGCTATCAAACTCGTCCCAAAAACCTCACACCCGTGGGCTCTCTCATTTGGACGACTGCGAGGATCCGCGAGCAGCCGGCCGGAACTGGCTGCTCGAATTTAGGAGGAGCCCAACACACCGCACCCGCCGCCCATTACCGGCGTTACGTAATTTTCTCCCTCTCGGCCGCTTCTTTTTCCTCGCTTCTTTTTCCTCCTGCCCCCGGTATCTGTCTCTCTCTCTCTCTCTCTCTCTCTCTCTCGCACTCTTTTTTCTTTTGACTTTTTCTCCTCTACCTCGCTCAGCCAAGAAAAAGGGACGGCAACACCTTGTTAGCCAAGTCGTTTCGCTGCTCTCAGGCCATGGCGAATCGACTGCGCGGGAATTTGTTGCGACTACTGCAAAAGTCCGACGGAAGTGGAGAGCGAGAGAAAGAGATGAAGTGCCAGGTTATTCTTTTTCTTTGCTCCTCGCCCTCCGAGAGCCTTCTTATATTGTATTATGAAAGTTGATAAAAAAGACCGAGGAAAGTCAGCTTTGGTTGCGCTCGCGGGCTTCGTGCATACGAATGTTTTTCAAGTGTGATTGAGTTCGTGCCGCACTTCTCCCGGGAGCAGACGACGACGAAGAATTGCCGTGATAAAACTGAAACTTCTTCTCCACTGAAGTTGATCGGTTGGAAATCAGATACACGAGATATTCCACGGAATATCGTTGTCGTCTGACTTTTGACAGGCGAACGCTTATTTTTCGCAGACGAGCATTTATCGCGGTCTCGCGGAGCCTGCATACGCATGTGGAATAACAATGCTCGTGCGCGAACCTTATCGCTCTTGTTAGCGAAATACTTTGTCAAAAAAAAAAAAAAAAAGTAAAGAAAAGCAAGATGTAAAGTTAATGCGTCTGAGTCTGGCTGATATTTCGCCTGGCGAGACGGTCATTTCGTCACCACTATCAAGCCAAAAACTGTCTACCACTGTGGCAAGATAAACCGGTGCTCGCAGTGTCAATGTCTCCGTAAGTCAATAAATAGCGCGAGACGCGGAGAGATAAGTTTTTCCTTGTCAATTTAACGCTGAACGCTTCTCGTTGGTAAACAACGTAATTAAAAGTCCACAGTCCGCGGAAAATGCTCCTCTGGTGAACCTTTCAACTAGCGAACGCGTGAGAGGAGTCACGAGTGAGGATGACGATAAAAAAGAAAAGAAGAAGTGAAGCCGTCCGCGTTTCTCTCGTTGGCCACTTCCATGCGTAAGTAACGCTCTGCCGACGGCCGCGCACAAAAGCTCACGGCGGTGGCGGCAGTGTCAGATGCTGTAATCTCATTCCGTCGAGATTATTTGCTATTCCGCGGGCGGGCGAGGCAGTGTATCGTTATTTAAGTCGCGGGGCATTAAAGCTCCTCGCGTTATTTGATGTATGGCCGACGCGTGCGCCGCTTTCGCCTCTCCTTCCTTGCCCCGCGACTAAACATGAGATATCGCGCTCGATCAATTTTTCATAAAGCCTCTCAGCAGTGAGCAAGGGAACGAGAGGGACCCTTCGGCGCGCGGGCGCAACTTACGCGCTTGTAATCTTCGCGCCGCCTAAATGACTGGCCGCGCGCTGACGCTCCTTCTTCCCTTGTTTCTTCGCGCGACAAAGCGATGCCTCGGTTGCGTATGAAAAAGTGCCTCTCACGAAATTTCGCATCTCGTGGCTTCGCGGAGCATCGCGGCGCCTTGACAGTTTTAAGTGGACGAGCGATGTCGCCATTAGTCTTCATTCCCGATGACAAATTGCCAATGCAAGTGAAACAAATTACACCTGTCGATCGCTTTGTTTCCAATAATTCCTTCATTTCGTTGAAACAGCCGTACGGCAGTCAAGTACTTTGCTCAAGCCTCTCGCTTTGTTAATTTAATTGTAATAATTTCTTTTCTTGCCGCTGACAAACCATCACGACGAATGGGCTTTCGATGCCATTCGAAATCGTTTGAAAAAAAATTAGTCGTTTCGAACTCCACAGCTAGTGACCAATGCGCGTGAATTTTCACATTTTACAAGCGATTTCCCAGAAATCATTCAGATTATAATCTACGGTGCTTTAAAAAAATATGACTACCGCGCGAGTTATCTAACGAAGCGCCAACTGTCGAATACAATAGAAAGTCTTGATATTTAGGCGGGAGCGCTGGTGTAATGAGAACATAAATATTTCGCGTTGATAGTCCCGTGAGTCGTAACAAGAGAAAGCACAGACCTCTCGTTATCTAAAGCGAATGGACGAGTGACCCCTGCTACGCCACAGTCTCTGCAATCTGCATGTATGTGTGTGTCTTTCTGTATGTCTCTGTGTATGTGCGTGTGTGATCCGTTTGGACAGATGTTAAAATTGTCACGTCCGAGGCTGAATTTTACACTCAATTTCACAGCGAAGAATAGATTTAGAAATTCTAAAGCCGTGCTTCTAACTTAGATCTGTGTGAATGAAAAATTTCAGTTGAATGGAGCTTGTCTAAATCAGTCTTGTTAGCCCTTTCACAACAAACTGTAATATAATTACATTATTTGTAATATTATTTTGTAGATATCAAAAGAACTTTATTTTTCAAATTATAACTATAGAACGTGTATATTTATAATAATTATCAATTGAGAAGTATTATATTTCGGGAATCATCCTCGTATAAAAAAGTAATGGATGCCATGTTGAAATATTTTATTCGTGATTTGATTGGATGAGATATGGCCACGTGATATACTGTAATGTGGCGGCAAATAAGCGTCTACGTATGATTTCAAGTAGAGAATTTCAATCTTTCAAGTCAAATTTCAATCTTTCATAATTTATACGGCTAATTTTGAAGATAATGAGAGTTTAAAAAATAGTTTTCAATGTTATTATTTAAATTAAAACATTTTATGAAACTGACGATGAGTAAATTGTCTCATAAAAATATGAGGTTCTAGGCTTTGGAATTGTTCTAATTATTTTCTATTACCAATCAATATTCTGATATGTGAAGTGTAAGATTAAAAGTATGTCTAAATGTTCAATAGTAATTTAACCCTTTTAGTTGGGAAGAACTAAAAGATTGTTTATAATTGTCTTTAATGTTATTAAATAATAAATTTGGTATACGTAGAAATGTACTCGTAACACATATTTCTCTACTGTGATATGTGTTTTGTGAAAAAATTTGAAAAAATCCACTTTGAAAAGAGTAATTT